GGTCTGTATTGGTGTGTACTGGGATGTACTGGGATGTACTGGGATGTACTGGTGACGCTGTCCCTGCAGCTGCGTGGGGGTGGAGGAGGAGGCGGCGGCCGAGATCGACCTGTATCACTGCCCGCAGTGCGCCGTGCTCAGGGGGCCCTCCGTCAGTGAGTGGGGCTGGGGGGTGGCAGCTGTGGGGCTGGGCCCTATGGGGTCAGCAATGTGTGGGGTTGGGCCCTATGGGGTCAGCAATGTGTGGGGTTGGGCCCTATGGGGTTGGCAGTGTGTGGGGTTGGGCCCTATAGGGCTGGGGTTGGGCCCTATGGGGTTGGCAGTGTGTGGGGCTGGGCCCTATAGGGCTGGGGTTGGGCCCTATGGGGTCAGCAATGTGTGGGGTTGGGCCCTATGGGGTCAGCAATGTGTGGGGTTGGGATTTATGGGGTCAGCAGTGTGTGGGGCTGGGCCTTATGGGGTTGGCAGTGTGTGGGGCTGGGCCTTCTAGGGCTGGGGTTGGGATTTATGGGGTCGGCTGTGTGGGGGGTCAGGCCTTATAGAGCCAAGAGCGAACTGCATAGGGCTATATAGGGGTCTATAGGATCTTATGCAGCTGGGACTGGACCATTTGGGGCTGTGGTGGGGCCATATAGGGCCATATGGGGCTGGGGGTGGCCATATGGGGTAGTAGTGGGGCCATATAGGGCCATAGAGGGCTGCGGTGGAGCCATATAGGGCCATATGGTGTTGTGGTGGGGCCATATGGAGCTGCGGGGGGCCATATAGGGTTAAGACTGAACCATATGGCGTAGTAGTGGGGCCATATAGGGCCATGTGGGGCTGCGGTGGGGCCATAAGGGGCTGCGGTGGGGCCATATGGGGCCATGTAGGACTGCGGTGGGGCCATAGGGGGCCATATGGGGCTGTGGGGGGGCCATATAGGGCCATATGGGGTTGTGGTGGGGCCATATGGGGCTGCGGTGGGGCCATATAGGGCCATATGGGGCTGCGGTGGGGCCATATAGGGCCATGTAGGACTGCGGTGGGGCCATATGGGGCCATGTGGGGCTGTGGGGGGGCCATATAGGGCCATGTGGGGCTGCGGGGGGGCCATATAGGGCCTGGCCCCCCCCCGGGGTCCCTATAGGTCCCTATAGGTCCTCCTGCCCCGTAGTGAAGCGGCGCCGGGCCGCCCCCAAAGGCGCCGCGGGGGACGCGGATGTGGGGCGCCCCATAAGGACCGGCAGCGCTCAGTTCGTGCGGGAGCTGCGGGGTCGCACCTTCCCCAGGTGAGGGGCGGCGCTTATAGGGCCGCTCGTTTTTCTATAGGGTTCTCATTTCGTTGTGGGGTTCTTTTGGTTTTCTATAGAGCTCTTTGTTCCCTTTTCCTGCCCAGGGAACTCTGTGTTCTTCTATGGGGTTTTGTGTTTCCCTATAGAGTTCTGTGTTTCGTTATAGGATTGTATGTTTCTTTATAGGGTTTTATATTTTCTATAGGGTCTGTCTTCCTGCTGTAGGGCCCTGGGTTCCCCTGTAGGGCCTGTCCCCCACCTATAGGAGCCCTCGCTCCCCTATAAGCTGCTCTGCTGCCATATAGGACTTTTTTTTCCTTTATAGGGTTCTTTTTTGTCTTTTAGGGCCGTTTGGTTCCCCTATGGGCCCCATTGTGCTCCTCTATATGGCCTCACGTTTTCTATGGGGTCTGCTTCATCCCTGAGAGCTCTCCACTACCTATAGCCCTTCTGGCTATTGGCCCGAGACCCCATAGACCTCATGACCCTCCCTATAGACCCCATAACGCCCCCTATAGACCCCCCAGACCCCATAACCCCCCCCAGACCCCATAACCCCCCCTTGCCCCCCCCGCAGTGCAGACGAGGTGCTGCTGAAGCCCAGCGGGGCGCAGCTGATGGTGGAGGACCTGGAGGAGCCCCCATAGACCCCATAACCCCCCCCATAGGCCCCATAACCCCCCCCTATACACCCGAGAGACCCCGATCTGCCCCCCTATAGA